TCCTGCGCACCCCCTGCAGTACCTCCACGACCCACCAGGGTCCCCACAGTTTGAAAACCACTGCCATAGTGGTTGTGTACAGAATAAACAACATAACAAAATGAAAAATTGTGATCCAGATTCAATTATCAAACATGACAACCTGCAAAGAAAAAGAAAAAAACATTATTAATAATAATAATAATAATTAAAGCTGCATGCAGCGTTGAGCGGGTCTTCGACGCACGTCGACGTGTGTGTCTAGGTGTCTCGAGGACCCGGCCGTTGGCAAACGTGGGAAGTTTCAGGTCGATCGGACAACGTACATGGGAGTTACAGCAGTATCATAAACATTGTGTTTGATGGCGAGTGATCTGTCGCCATGGCAACGGAATTTGATGACACCCCATAATACGCCTAGATGTGTTGAGGGCTACATTGTTATCAAACCTGTGAAGTTTTGGGCCGTTTGGAGCATGTTAACTGGAGTTATGAGAAAACCGTGTTTCACGGCGACCATTTTGTTTCCATAGCAACGACATTTGACGAAATCTCAAAACTGACTCATATATGTCTCGAGGGCTTTACGGTTAGCACACATGTGAAATTTGAACCCTTTTTTACCATTTACACAGGAGTTATAGCAATATTGTGCTTACGGCGAGGGATTGTGTTGCCATGGCAACAGCTTTTGAGGAAAACTCGCTATTGTCATATTGAGGTGTTGAGGGCCGGACCATTAACTGTCATCTGAAGTCTGGTGCAGTTTGGACCATTTTCCATTGACTTAAGACAACATTGTGTTTTATGGCGAGGGATGCGTTGCCATGGAAACGGCATATGATGACATCCCATAATTGGCGTAGAGCTGTTGAGGGCCGGACAATTAGCCATCATCGGAAGTCTGGTGCCGTTTGGACGATTTTCCATTGAATTACGACAACACCAGGTTTTTTTGGCGATGGAAAACGGCAGATGGTGAGATCTCAGATTTCACGTAGAGCTGTTGAGGCATGGACCAGTGATATAAAAGTGAAGATTGGGGGACCATGGGACTGTGTCCATTGGAGTTACAGCAACATCGTGTTCCATGGCGAGGGATCGCCTAGCATCGAGCGAACGCGAACTTTGGCACCAAATCACGGCTACGCCGTGCGAAATAAAAACATTTCCTTGATAACTTTTAATTGCCCATGTCTCGAGGACGAAAAGCGCGATAAATTGCGTCTTTCCGACGCCAAATTCAAAATGGCCGACTTCCTGCACGTTATTTTATGCGGGAGGGGGTGTACTCCTGAAGGAGCTAAGGGCTAGGTTGTGGAGAGCTTTATATGTGAGTAGAAGGTTTTTGTATTCAATACGGTGAAGCCGTAATATGGGAAGCCAGTGTAGTTGAGTGAGAATGGGGGGTGATGCGGTCGGATGAGTTTGGTGCGGGTGATGATCCGGGCAGCAGAGTTCTGGATTATTTGCAGTCTATTGAGGAGTTTGGTGGGAAATTCCAGTCAGAAGTGCATTGCAGTAATCAATCCGGGATGTGACGAATGAGTGGACCAGGATTTCAGTGCTGGGTTGGGACAGAGATGAGCGGAGTCTGGAGATGTTCCGAAGATGGAAGAAGGCAGTGCGGGTGATGTTTTTAATGTGTGGTGCGAATGAGAGGGAGCCGTCCAGAATGACACCGAGGCTTTTCACTTGGGCAGCGAATGGTATGGGGAAGCCGTCGATGATGATGTTTGGTGCTGGGGTGTTTTGTGACTTGGTGAGGGTGGATTTTGAGCCGATGGGCAGGGCCTCAGTTTTGCTACTATTAAGCTTCAGGAAATTCCTGCTCATCCAGCTCCTGATGTCCTCAAGGTGAGGGAGGTGGGGGGCAGGGCAGTGGTGGGTTTGGAGGAAATGTAGACCTGTGTGTCGTCGGCGTAGCAGTGCAAATTAACCTCATGGTGACGGAGGATTGTGCCCAGGAGGAAGAGATATATTATGAATAGGATTGGACCCAGTACTGACACCTGGGGGACACCCAGTGAAATAGAACACCCTGACTTGTGATTACCGAGTTGTACAAACTGTTGTCTGTCAGTGAGGTATGACGTGAACCAGCAACACCAGTGATCCCAATGCCAGCCAGGCGGTCCAGGAGTAGTGGGTGAGAAATGGTATTGAATGCAGCGCAGAGGTCAAGGAGGATGAGGATGGTGAGAAGTCCGGAGTCAACTGCACGGAGGAGGTCGTTGGTGATTTGAACCAGGGCTGTTTCAGTACTGTGTTTTTGGCGGAAACCAGATTGAAAGGGTTCATGGAGGTTGTTTATGTCAAGATGGGACTGAAGCTGTGCGGCAACAAACCTCTCAAGGCTCTTGGAAATGAAGGGTAGGTTGGAGATGGGCCTTTAGTGGTTTAGATAGGCTGGGTCAGCACCAGGTTTTTTTGAAGATGAAAGTGATTGCAGCCAGTTTGAGGGTGGGGGGTACAATTCCAGAGGTGAGGGAGGAGGTAATTATGTCAGTGATCATGGGTGATATGGCTGGTAGGCAAGCCTTGAATACATCAGGGTTGTGAGATCTGTGGGGTTAATATGTTTAATTTTTCTGAAGGTGATGGACCGTTGTTCTTTGGCTTTGGAAAGGGGGGCATGGATATACAAAATTATAGCTGAATGGTCAGAAATGGGGAATTCAATGACAGCAAGGTTAATGGGAGTGATGCCAGTGCAGCAGAGTAAGTCCAGTATGTGACCCTTGTTATGTGTTGGGAGGTTGACATGCTGTGTGATATCGAGGCAGTCCAGGAGTGAGATGAAATCATGTGCAAAAACATTGGATGGGTCGTCAATGTGGATGTTAAAGATGCCTAAGAGGATAACAGTAGGGGACATTGCACATACACATGTTAGTAGTGATGAAAATTCAATGAGAAAAACAGCAGAGGGCTTTGGTGGTCTGTAGATGGAAATAATGCTGATGGGTTTGGGGCCAGGGAGTTTTACAGCTAATCATTCAAAAGAGGAGTGATGGGGGGATAGTGACAGCAATGACTTTAATGTTTTCACGGTGCAACACAGCAAGATCCCCCCCTCCCAACGGCACAGGGTTTACTAATAAAAGCGTAACCCGGAGGGACAGCTGCATTAAGCTGGGAGAAGTCATCAGACTGTTGCCAGGTCTCAGTGAGGCATTAACAAATCAAGCTTTTTGTCCATAATGAAGTCAGAAACCAGCAGGGCCTTATTGGTGAGGGATCTTATGTTAAACAGACATAGTTTCAGACAGGTAAATTGTGCATATGTGGATGCTTTAGACTGGGGGGATAACACACTGTGATTACTCAAAGTTTCGTCCAGATCCACAGTGAGTGTATCTTGGTCGTTAGAGTGTTGGACAAGCAGACGTAGCAGCTCCGTTGCAGAATAACGCAGCGGTAGAGACGCATTTTGTGACCATGAGACACAGAGCGCACCATATGAGCAGTTTAAAAATCCACATGATGAGAGTTAAAAACCAAAAACAATGTAATCCAGCGGTTTGATGATCCAAATGGATAAAGTGAAGCGACAAAACCTGCACTGCTGAGGCGGAGGAGTAGTCGTGTTGGTTGTAGCCGCAGGTTTTCTCTCGAGGCGGAGCAACCAGACGTACGGCGCTGGGGACGAGTGACAGGTTAGCCGGTAGTGGCTGTGGGGCAGCAATCCACAGGCGGAGATGTGCACCCAGGAGAGCTGGCAGAATGGCAGCGGACAGATCCGAACAGGTGCTTTGCAGGGCACACCAGATCAAGCTATCCGGTCAAAGAGAGCACAGCACAAAGGGGCCCAAGTAGTCCAGTACGGTGAGCCATGTACCGACACAGCTAGCTTCAAGCTACCGAGTGACAGCACAGTAGCACTAGCGCGTTTACAGACTGTTAAACGGCTAAATTAATCGTCACAGTGTTAGATGGGACAGACGAGTTTGTAACAGACAGGTTTGGAGTCCAGTTGCACAAGACAACATTCAACAGATCGAGATAAAACAACACGAAACAATCGACAGACAACAGAGGAGGTGCGGCAGCAACTTGCCAGCGGTCCCTCACTTCCGGTATTATTAGAATGGCGAGTTAGTTATTGGGAGATGAATGCATGCAGTTAAAGGTCAAAATGCACACAGAAAGAGAGGACAACCATCCAAACAGACTTACTATACGCTTTAACAACGAGGAAAGTAATATTTAGGGTAATATGTTGGTATCTTTTGTTTCTACTAGAATATGTTTATATGCCAGACCAGCTGGGTAAACAGTGCGTCCTAGCCATCATTGATTAAGGAGTTTGATGGCTTGTGGGACATTATGATGTTGCATTTCTTTCTAGTGTCTCCCAAATATTTTCCAAATAATTATGAAATTGCAGACCATAGGAGAAGAAGAAGATATAGTATTATGTTGAAAAATAATAGCATGTACAAGTCCGTATTTGTATAGTTAATGAATTTGTTTGCATCCATCGGTTAATATGAATTGAACCTTTGCTGTATCATGACAGAATTTTTTTTTAAGAAAATCCTTACACCTTATTGTGGATGGTCAACATTATTCAAACCATAAATGTTATGGGACAAGTTAACAGCGCTGTTGAAAGGTTGTGAACTTATAGATTGCAAGCCTATTTTATGTTATTCTCAATTATTCAATAATTGCTATATAAAAACAAATATTTGTAATCAGCTGGTTGACAAAACAATTTCATTTCAAGTTCCATTAAGTATCGAGCTACTACTTATATCCATGCCTGCAAACTAGTCCCCTTGCTGTTATGTTATATCGCACAGTTTATTGAACAGTTTTCATTGTGATGTCAAAGTAAGTCTATTGTAAGTCGCTTTGGATAAAAGCGTCAGCTAAATGCAATGTAATGTAATGTAATGATGTTGATGAATCATCTCACTTGGTCGGACTCAGTGAACCACAAAGCAAAAAGTAGCGCTTTAAAAATCATAAATGCAAACCAGGCTTACTGTCCTTATGTCTTTATCTTTCTTCAGTTCCTTGGCGGTACCATGATTATAATCATTGGAGGCATCATCGTGGCCTCTGTCCTTGTCTTCATCTTCATCCTCCTAATGAAGTACAAGCTGCACAGTAACCACTACAAACAGAAAGCAACAGCACGACATGCCAACGTCTGCTCCCAGACCAACGGAGGGGGAGCTAACACACTCACTGTTCCTCCATTCTTCTCCTCTGCAGGGCAGGGTAAGCGGTGGGAAAGGAGGGAAATAGATGTGATTTATTTTTCTTTCATGTTTCTAATAATTTGCCTCCACCTGGTTGTCTCCTAGGTGGAGGTGATGGTAAAAACTCCCAACCTTCATCATCACTGAAGGGATGGGAGGAGTATCCATTCGAGGGACGACTGTAGTGGACTTAAAATCCCACCCGTGACGAAGACGCCATCTCTCAATAACATATGAAATTGTTAATCAAACCTTCAACTCACCAATCATTAAGCCCAAACCAATAATCCAACTCCATCGCCCTCCCTTTTTTAAACTATTTGTTATTGGTGCCTGAAATCTACTCTACTTCACGCTGAGGAGCAGCTCCTGTCATTGGTAAGTAGCTGTGAAGCCAGTTTGTAAAAAGTCTGAATTCATTCTTTGTCAAATAACTGTAATAATGCTTGAATGCTTGTATTATAAATTCAATTTGGATCAATTATTTTTTGTCATTTGTAATGTGAAGTTGGCAGAGAGTTTAAAAATGATGTGGAATTCACGTGTCCCTGTCAAAACTGTTTATTCAACTCTTCGAAAGGACTTTGAACAAGAAGAAACTTTTTTTTCTTGCAGTGTGAACACACCATTAAACAGTTGACTTTTCTTCTTCTTTTAAAAAAAAATACTCTCTATTGAGTTTCACACACACACAACATACAGAACAATGCATAACACCCCCCCCCCAACATTTGACAACAATTTAATAATAATAATAATAATAATCCTCATTTACCTAATCACAATAATATAGATGGACCACAAAGGATAAATAAAATATGTGTATACACATGCATTTACATGGAATATTATTTTCAGTCCGCAATCTGTGAGTTCAGGGTAATCAGTCAACAGAAGCCTCAAGCGTCATCCATAGTTGATGTTACTTAGCTTTCCAATCAGAACCCTCCCCCCCCCCGAGAAGTACGGCTTTCAGGTCAGTGGGCAAATAATCCAGAAATGGTCACCAGACCCTCATAAACAGCCCGTCATTGCCCCTTGAGGTAGTGGAAATATACTGGGTTTCCCAATATCTGTTACATATAAACGTGGTTCTGATTAAGTTTATAGATGCCTGCCAATCATCTGCAATATATTCAGTACCCAAATCTTTCTCCCATTTACGGGAAATATTCAGCAGTTCGTATGTGCCAGTAGAACCAAGGAGTGAATAAAATGAAGAGATAAAATGCTTAGAATTTTGGCGCTCCAAGATGAACTTCTCTGCGTCATTGCAAGGGAGGTTAACCTGTTAAACCCCAAGCCTGTTTTTCAGATCTCAGGCTCGAAAATGACATGCCCAGAACAAATTACTATTTCTTCACTGCTAAAAGGGGAAAATTAATAATATTTTTTCTCGAAGCAGTGATACACCTGTGAGTTGGATGTAGAAAAGTCAGAATCAATATAGATGTTTTATTTTAAAGTAAATTCAGATTGAACATAGTAAAAAAAAAATATATATAGTTTCCTTCCAAAATAAAACCCATTACTTTATAGTGAAAACCACCCTTGAATGATAGGATAGTAGACAAAAAGCTTTAGGAATCCAAACTATAACATATAATAAGTACCCTGTATCAAGATTGATGCAAAACAAGTGACATTCGACCTTTTTTAGAGAGATTTAGAGAAAAAAAACCCACCTCTGGGGTCATTTGGGTGTATTTGCCATATCTCTGGAACCCATTGGTCGATTTTGGTGATTGACAACTCTTTTGAACCGTTAGAGCCAATATAATCGAGGGGGGGTTCCTAAATCCATCTAAACATTACCATTGGTGAATGAGAGTGATGCGCAGCCAGCATGCCCAAAACCGGAAGCTGGGTTACACTCTATATGAAAACTACTTTTATCTTTGGATAAAAGCGTCAGCTAAATGCAATGTAATGTAATGTAATTAACATAAATGTTATGATGGATTATCAGTAATATATAAATGACAGGTGGTTTTTGGCTTAACACAGAAAAATGAAAGGATAGCTAAACATTTAGTAATCAAATACTTAAGGACCAAAGCATAATGTAAACATGTCGAAACGAGAAATAACACGGCAAGTGCAGCTGTCAGTGAAGGTCCATCCCCAAACGCCCCGTTAAACTGCCGTCTGGCCTCCCTCACATGTGCCGATAGATCCTGGCGAATGTAGACCTTGTTTCCTTGGTAGTGGAGGTCTCCTTAGCCGCTGCAAGGATCCGTTGTATGTCACCGAAGTTGTGCAGTTTAATGATAACGGGTCTTTGGGAATTTTCCTTCGGCGGTCCAGAGCCCAGTGCATCTTGTCAATCTTTATTTTTTGTATTGGATTTTAAGCACAAACATCCAACATCATATACAGACTCAGAGAAAAACAAAACGGTACCAAAGAAATAATAAAAAATAATAATAATTAAAACTGCGGTCACAGACGTGCATGCAGTTGTGGGCGGGACTTCGCATCCGTGCACCTGTCGGGGAGGGTCGCCGGTTGTCCCGGCGTCAAGAAGACGCGTGCGAGTCCTCGGAAATGAGCCGTTTGTCATTTCTCAAATGTTCACGTCCTGGACTCCCCGGTCCTCTGGCAGCGAGCCGGAAACGGATGTGGGCGCGCCGCCTCGACGGACAACAAATGTCTCTAAAGGCTGGTCGAGGATCGATTATCGCGGAGGCTGTCTGGAGGAGCAGTAACCGTGGCGTGTGGTGCAGTGGGTTGTGCGTTGGTGTTCGGATCAGGGGGTCACAGGTTCAAACCCCACTGCAGTCAGTATGTCGTTGTGTCCCTGGACAAGACACTTCAACCCAAATGGCTCCTGTGGGGATTGCCCACAGTATTGAGTGTATAAGTCGCTTTTTGACATGTAATGTAATGTAACCAAGGATACACTGATTTAGAGGAGAGAGGAATCTCTCTGGAGGAGCTACAACCGAGGGTACACTGATACAGAGTCCTGCATCGGGTCGGGTACCCACAAACCGCAAAAAAAGTGATTTGCGGGTGGTATTATTTCAAACGCTTTTTTCCGGGTTCGGTTCTGGGTAAAACAAAGATGATGCGGGTCGGGTCGCGGGTGTTACATAATAAATATATTAAAATTATAATAATTTAGTTTAATGATTAAATCCTCAGACCTCTCCCCCGCGGAACCACACATAATCATAACCTCTGCAGCGCATCAATCTGCTGCTGAGCTCGCCACATTCAAAATGGTTGAGGTGAAGCTCTCTAGCGGAGAATACAGCATTTTCAATAACACTTCCTCAAGAGCGAAATCCAACGTCTGGGAGGCTTTTGGTTCCAGATGAGAAAATAACCAACATCCCACGCTTTTTGAGACAAATGCAACTGCGTGTGTTAATAATTGCACGTTCTCACTGCTCATATATATGCGGGTTCGGGTCGGGTTGCGAATATTGTGCCGACGGGTCGTGTCGGGTTGCGGAACTAATTGGCAATGTGTGCGGGTAGCGGGGCGGGTTCGGTATTGCACGTTGCGGATGCGGGCGGGAGCGGGTCTTGAAAATCAGACCCGTGCAGGACTCTGCACTGATGTAGAGGACATAGGGGAGAGAGGAGAGAGAGGGAAGAAAGAGGAGGGAGGAGGCTCTCTGGAGGAGCTTTAACCGAGGGCACACTAATGTATTCTCCGGAGTCGATTTTAGGCCACAGAGACCGGGTGTAAATTAAATTAAACTTTATTCACAACAGGCTATAGTTGCGAGATTGTAGGATGTAAACAGGTATAAGTGTAATTAAAATACATTAAACTGTAAAGACAAGCATTAACAGTTAATAGACACATATCAACAGTAGAAAATATAATATTTTCACTGAAAAGTGTAAAGGCAAGGCAAGGCAAGGCAAGTTTATTTATATAGCACTTTTCAACACAAGGCAATTCAAAGTGCTTTACAAAAAATGAAAGAGATTAAGAAAATGGCATTTAAAATCAGTCATTAAAAAGAAAAGCTAATAAAATAAACATTAAAAGAAAAAATACATGGATAAAAGTTACAGTGCAGTCAATTAAACATTAAAAGAAAAAAAGTACATGGATAAAAGTTACAGTGCAGTCTAAGATATGAATAGTTCAATTAAAAGCAGCGACAAAAAGAAAAGTCTTCAGCCTGGATTTAAAAGTAGTCAGAGTTGCAGCGGACCTGCAGGTTTCTGGGAGTTTGTTCCAGATATTTGGAGCATAATAACTAAACGCTGCTTCTCCATGTTTAGTTCTGACTCTGGGGACAGAAAGCTGACCAGTCCCTGAAGACCTGAGAGATCTGGATGGTTCATAATTTAGCAGGAGGTCAGAAATGTATTTTGGGCCTAAACCATTCAGTGCTTTATAAACCAGCAGCAGTATTTTGAAATCTATTCTTTGACACACAGGAAGCCAGTGTAAAGACTTCAGAACAGGAGTGATGTGATCCACTTTCTTAGTGTTAGTGAGGACTCGAGCAGCGGCGTTCTGAATCAGCTGCAGCTTCCTAATAGATGTTTTAGTGAGACCTGTGAAAACACCATTGCAGTAGTCGAGTCTACTGAAGATAAAAGCATGGACAAGTTTTTCCAAATCCTGCTGTGACATTAGTCTTTTAATCCTAGATATATTCTTTAGGTGATAGTAGGCTGATTTAGTAACAGTTTTAATGTGACTGTTGAAACTCAGGTCAGAGTCCATGACTACGCCTAGATTTCTGGCTTTATCTGTTGTTTTGAACATTGCAGACTGAAGCTCAGTGCTAACTTGTATACGTTCTGACTTGGCTCCAAAAACCATTACCTCAGTTTTATCTTTGTTTAATTGGAGAAAGTTCTGACACATCCAGTCATTGATTTGTTCAATGCACTTACTCAGTGTTTGAATTGGAGCATAGTCTCCTGGTGAAATTGTTACGTAAATGTGTGTGTCAAGACTAATGGAAAGAGGTGCAGTACACAATTAATAGCATGAAAATTAATCATTGTACCAAAAACTAATATTGTCATCTCACTCCAAGCTGAACTCCAAAGTGGCCAGCCCTGGACTATATGTATGTGTGGTCTATAACAGAGAAATACAACATTACAAGTACAATGAGAATCAGTTACTTACATATATATACAGCAAACAATAAGCATAACTTTCTCTTCAATGGAACATATTCTCCAAGGCTGTTCAACAGGCAGGTTGCAATAAAACCATTACAAATATATACATGTAATATACAGATAGCTCCTTTAATGCACAATATAACAGGTTAATATGTCATCTAAACATTAGATTGGCAACATTGTCAAACAAAGCTGGACTTATCCGCACGCAGCTAATGTCAAGGAAGCACAGCTCTGCAAACTGTTCTCGTTGTGATTATAAGTCA